ATATATATATAAGTGTATGACCGAATCATATGCTATAATATATAATAATATATGGCTAAATCATAAAATTAATTGAGAGTAGAGATAAAGCACTGCCATATTATTTGTGTCTGGACCAGAATTCAGGTCTGAACGGGTTGAAAGTAACAAAGTGCACGAATTCAGATATTTATAATCTCAATATCTGAGTGAAATTGATTTGTCTTCAGTCTGAACTGTAAACACATTACTAATGTAAACTCCTCCATTCATCCTGCAGCACAACAGGGCGTGAGTTCACGGTCTATTTAACTTCACATTTCAATCCTATTAAAACCTTGAATCTTCTTTAAAATGTTGTTTTAGGTTTAATAAGCAGTACGGCAGGCTGTGCGCATTTGTTTTACCTTACTCTTCTCGGTTTACAGTAGCCCAATGTTTTCTTGTCGGACAATTTTTAGTTTACAAACACAGGAAACGTTACCGGAAGTGCTCTCTAGGGAGAGCGCATAGACTGTCACGTGAACAAATTACAGGCTGCTTCCGGTGTAAATAAAGTCCACGAGTGTTAAGAGGAACTTTTTTTATTAATATGTAAAATGATGAGGTGCTTGCGAAATTTTTTTTATTTGATATTTGGAAACGAGAAAAATATATTTTATATCGTTTATAATATAAAGGTTTTTGTGACAAATATTGACGTTTTCATTTACAAATTTCAAAACAAAGTAAAAGAAAAGACAAAAAAATCAAGCTTTCAGCTTTTCAGAAATGTTCAGCCTATCACATATTGACCTATATTTTTGGTAAGACTCCTTTATAAAGGAGACTAAAGCAAAATAACATTGTGCCGAACAAAAGGTCACAATTTAACACAGTCAAGTCATTATCATCATCAACTAATTTATAAAATATCCATATTAAATTATTGACACACACACACACACACACACACACAAAAGTAATTTACTAAAATAAAAATATTTTGCATATTTAAAGGGAAGCTTTTTTTCACACATAAATTCAGATATCACTGAAAGAAGTGTCATAAAAATCACACTTGTTTCTGTGGCAGCCCTAGGCTCTAAAAAGAAAAGGAGAGAGAGAGAGAGAGAGAGAGAGAGAGAGAGAGAGAGAGTGTGTAAAGGGAACAGCCACACTTTAGCCAATCAGAAACGCTTTCTGCCTGTAAATCATTTTGCACATTCAGTTTTGGTGACACAGTTTCACAGTGCTTCTCAATCCTGGTCCTGGAGGCCCCTGCAGTGCACATTTTGGATGCCGCCCTTATTTAATACAGATGATTAGTAAATTAGTAAAATTAGTAAAAGCCCTAAGATCTAAATTGGGTTTTCCAAATGAATTCCATACCTACGTGGGCCAGAATCTATGAGATTCATTCACGCACATTTATTTGCTGGCTTAATCATTGAAGTCAGTATTGTGTACCGCTTACAAGTCAACATTTTAGCAACCTTTAGAAAATCACAAATTAAAAATATCAAGATGAGAGGGGTTAATGTGACATTGTCTATTGGTAGACCACTGACATTCAAACTAACTACAGGTCCTTCCCTAGTTTTTCTATCTCATCAAGGAAGAAATCCATGTCCTTGGTGGTCAGCTGAGGAGAAAGAACAACCATACGGAAGAAGTTGACGCGTCCATCCATGGGCTGGTATCCCACCATCATTGTTCCACGCTTCATCATTCGCTCTTTGATGACTGGCGCCACCTGATGGCATACATTGAGCATGACAATAATTCAGTGCTCGATAGTTAATTTCTCTGGCATTTTATTTGTCATTCTACATTAAACAATGCTGACCTTTGATAACCTTTCCTGGTAATCCGGACTGTTCTCCTTCCCTTTCATACTGGGTGGAATAAACCAGAAGCAAACGTTCACAAAATGCCCCTATTAGAAAACACAAACCATATATAAATATATAAACATGCATTATATTTACGTAAACATAAGTACACTACTTCAGGTTTGTATACAGTGCAACACTGTACCTTACAGACCAACTTGAAATTCTCCCTTTTCTCCATTTCTTCAACTAAATACCTGGTGCAGACATAAATAATATATTATTAAAATACACATATATATATATATATAAAACATAAATAAATTAAATAATATATACAGTAACATTCAAAAGTTTGGGGTCAGTGAGTTTTTTTATCTTTTATTTACAGTTTTGTTCAAATGCTAACATCCTTTTGTCCAATCTCTAGTCACATTTTCAAAACTCTAAACACAATAAGCACAACATCCATCTGTTGTGACCATACCATTAACACAATTCAAGTTGTTTTCACGCAATATGCAGTCAATTACCATGTTTCTAAAATGCTTTTATTTTATTTTCATACAAGCTTACCCGAAACCAAAATCATGGATGTTTTTAGTCTTATTTACAAATGCTTAAACACAGCATGTCAGAAATGAAGACCTAATGTTCCGAACCTTAAATATAGTATAAAGCTTCTACCTCTGCAACAACAGCAGCTCAAAGGTATTGAAAACATCTCTCTGTATAAAATATTGTAATGACTGATAAGCATTTTTAAGTAACAGATCACTGAAATATTTAGAAATAGCTGATTCCAGACTCAGTTGGAGGAATAGTCTGGTGTTAAAGCTCTTTCCATTACATCAACAACAGAGTAAAAAAAGACATCTTTGAATTGGTTTTGTGGATGCAGAACAACACAGAATTACAGAGAGAGAGAAAAATAATGCCTGGGAGAGGGAGAGGAATAGTTGTAGGAGGTAGAGAAGTAGTTGGATCAGAAAAAAGGGAGAAGAGGTATGGGAGAGAAGTGAGAATGTGTGTGGGACTGTGCATTTTATGTTTGTTTTTTTTCCCACATATGGAACCTATGAAAGCTTATTTCTGCCATGGAATATAAAGGGTAAGGGTAATTGTGACTTTATCTCAGAATTCTGACTTTTTTCTTGCAATTGTGAATTTACAGTATCTCACAATTCTGAATTGCAAGACGTAAACTTGCAATTCCAATAATAGAAGTCCGAATTATGAGATATAAAGGTCACAGTTACTGTTTTTACTTTTTTATTCTGTGACGGAAACAAGCTTGCATAGTAAGCAAAGGCCATGTATGCTGGAATTTTTGTTGATCACTGTCATCAGCTACCATGGGGGCACCATCCACATCCAACCCCCACCCACTGGAAAGCAATTTCAATCAAGGTTCCAACTGCGTTTCTGCATAGGGGACCCTATTTTTTTTTCTATTGTACATTCTATAAAGTAATGACTCATTCAGTTTTAGATAGTATGTTGCCAAGAATGAACACATTCAACACTTACAAATGTAAAATGGGTTTCAGTTGAAGGTAAACTGAAGGCTAAATTACAAAAAACCTATGGATTTTTATATTGTCATTATATGCAGTAAGAACTGAAACATGACAAGTAATGCAGTTTTTGTAAAGCCATCAACTGTTAGTATTTTGACAGTCACTGTGCTATGATTGACTATATGTTTCTGTTGGATAGAAACTAGTGCTAATGTTTTGACCGAATGACTCGATTTTGAATCGGGTTTGCTGTGTATATGTAGAGAAACGTATTCAGCATTTTGAAATGTAGAGTTTGTATTTATTTAACAAAATGAGGTTTTGGCCAGAAAATTAACTATTTTTGGTGTGTTGCTGTGTTAAGAGTTTAGAAAAAGTACTTTAAGTATTGGTAAACGCTTGTTAGAAATTGAAAAAAAACTGTAATGTTACAAAAGATTAATATTTCAAATGAATGCTTTTTTTTTTGTTCTATTCATCAAAAATCCTGGAAAAGTGGATCACAGATGCCACAAAAATTCTAAGCAGCACAACTGTGTTCAACAATATCAGCATATTAGAATGATTTCTGAAGGATCATGTAACACTTAAGACTAGAGTAATGATGCTGAAAATTCAGCTTTGCATCACAGGAATAAATGACATTTTAAAATATATTCAAATAGAAAACAGTTATTTTAAATTGTAATAATATTTCACATATTATATATTTTTTTTATATATTTTTTTTCTTTCAAAAACATTTTAAAAATCTCACCAATCCCAAAATTTTTAACAGTACTGTATACATTAATAATATATTGCAATGCATTTAAGGATATAAGTCAATAGTATTTAACAAAATGCAACATTAAAAAGATTGATAGTATTTTAATAAACAACAACATCTAACAGATGCATCAAATACCTTGCGAGGGCAAAGGCCTTATCCACTCGCTCTGAAAGCCCATGTGTTCCTATTGCTTTCCACATTAACCAGAGCTTCAAACAATCCACCTTGCGGCCACACTGGATAGATTTGTCTCCCGTGTCTAGACTTGTATCGTAGAACTTGTCTTGCTGGAATAAGTAGGTTGCGTTGGCACTGTGACAGTGCATTAGCAGATTCTACAGATTGAGATGAGAAAGATCAAATTAGGAACAGTCAAGTGCACTTGTGGACAAGTCAATATAACACATTCATTTGACTAATGAGCAAAACACTGCATGAATAGACTTGCACAGGTTTAGAGGTAAAAGAAAAGATAGATGGATTGCTACATTCCATAAGCATTCATACCGTGGTATCTCTAAACAAAATCACAGAGCACTGCAATCCCGCTAGAAGCATTTTGTGAGGGTTCCAAGTCACAGAGTTTGCTCTGAGTGTTAAAAAAATAAACATTAAATGATATAGTCAAAGATGGGCTACTTCTCTACCCAAAGCACATTAAATTCAGGGCTTATTCTGTAAGCCCACAGTACACAGAGTTCAAACCTTTCTAATCCTGCAACCAGATGTTTGTGTTTTTTGGAAAACAGCACGCTTCCTCCCCAAGCGGCCTGTAAAGGAGAGAGATCCAGATTGTAACAGTTAGGAACGGGTGAAATTCTGCAAACAACTAGATACACTGAAAGTGGGGGCCACATGCATATAGACGTGCTGCACTTACGTCAATGTGCATCCACATGCCGTTTCTTTCACTTATGTCAGCTATGTGGTTCAGAGGATCAAAGGCGCCCTGCACTGTGGTACCCGCTGTGGCATTAACGAAAAATGGGACAGCATCCTGAAGGAGACACATTAGTCAAACACCATTAACTTTTGACCCTTGGATATTTCATGCAAAAAAAAAAAGTATTGGTTTATCACCCTAATGTCTTTTCAAACCTGTATGTCCTTTTATTTCCATATAACACAAAAGGAGAAGTGTTGCATAATGTTCACGCTGCTCTTTTCCATACACGAAAGCAGACATATATGTTGGGTTCTACCTCAAAAAAGCAATCAGATGTCTTTAGAACACTTTCTGGTCATTGTCTGCATTCTACAAAACACTTCCTTTTGTGTTCCATGGAAGGAAGAAATTAAAATGGATTTGGAATGAGATAAATCATTACAGAATTTTAATTGATGTTCTCACTTATACAAACTGCTTCAAATTTACCATATTAATTCATTATGAAATTATAAACACTAACATTCAAAAATTTGGGTTCAAATTAGTTGAAAAGTGAAAATAGAAATGTATCATGTTTTACAATTTTACTTTCCATTCATCAAAGAATCCTGAAATACTTATCACAAGTTTCCACAAAAATATTAAGCAGCACAACTGTTTTCAACATGAATGATTTCTGAAGGATCATGTGACACTGAAGACTGGAGTAATGATGCTGAAAATTCAGCTTTGCATCACAGGAATAAATTACATTTTATAATATATTAAAATAGAAAACAGTCCTTTTAAATTACAATAATATTTCATAATATTACTGTTTTTTTATCAAACAAAAGCAGCCTTGGTGAGCAAAAGAGACTTCTTTCAAAAAAATCACCTTACTGATATAATTAAAATATTTACTTTTGATTTTGCTTGCACAATTTTTGCCTCCAGGTCCTCTGGTATCATGCTGCCGCTGTAGAGGAACAAAGAAACATTTTAAACAATTTAAAGTGAACCTCTGGTTTTCCAAAATGTGTTAGAGATAAGATCCGGTACCTCTCATCCACTTGTACAATGAAAACATTGTCTGTTCCGATACCAAGAAAAGCAGCAGCTTTTTTCATTGAGTAATGACTCTAAAAGAAAAAAAAAGACATACAATTTGATGGTACAATTTCGATAATACTGCATTATATACCCTTTTAAATCTAAGATTAGAACAAGTAACTTCTGACTTTTTACCTGTTGTGATGTAAATATAGCCATGCGTGGTGTGGCCCACAAGCCTTGTGTCTTCGCTTGAGGGAAGGCCCAGTATCGTGCGATGTTCATGGCGTACATGTTGGACACTGAACCCCCGGGACAAAATATCCCATCTCCTTCTGACCAGCCAACCAGAGAGCGAAGCTGACGGAGCACTTCCTCCTCCATCAGGACAAACACCGGAGCCACTTCATAGGTGTATCTGAAACAACTTCACACTGAGTACTTTGAGCATGATATGTGCATGTATTTGTATCAGTGTTATTTTAGTATCATCAATATGCTATTATAATAGTTTGGAGAAATTTAGCAGGACATCACTTGTTCACCAATGGATCATCTGCAGTGAATGCTCCGTTTATGACATTTTTAACTGCTTCTGGCTAAAATAGTCTATCCATAATATCTAAAGTAGTCTATCCATAATATTGCTTCCTCCAGTGAAGGAGTTGTCTTGTCTGAATCAGGAGAGAAATATGCACAGATCAAGCACAGGTTACATGCAAAACCAGTCTAAAACTGTTATGTGTCGGTGGCTTTTGATGTAAGAGGACAACAGGAGATTGACTCTTTCAATGGACGAAGCGTTATTGTGGATTACGGACTTTGGTCAGAAGCGGTGGGTTGAAGTTAAAATATCTTGATGGATTTGTTTCGTACAAACACGCAGCTTTTCACTTCACAAGATGTTAACTGATGGACTGGAGTGGTGTGGATTATTGGGATGTTTTTATCAGCTGTTTGGACTCTCATTCTGACGGCACCCATTCACTTCAGAGGATCAATTGGTGAGTAAGTGATGTAATGCTAAATTACTCCAAATATTTTGCCATGAAGAAACAAATTCATCTACATCTTGGATGGCCTAAGGGTGAGTACATTTGTAGACAAATGTAATTTTTGGGTGAACTATTCCTTTAAGATTTTGAAGTAGTTTTTATTTTCTGTTTTCAGTTTTAACAATTTTGTTGTGTGTTTTGGTTGTTTTATACATTTTATTTTTTTATTTGTTATTTTTTCAAATTTATGAAGTGCATGTAATTTAAAAAAAAAAATAAAAAAAATCTTAGTTTTAGTTAATGATAACAACACTGTTTGCATTATCTAAAAATTCCAGATCCTAATTTAATCAATCTCTAATCAAATCACAGTTTTTAGATGAAAACTGTGGCTCCATGCTGTTATCAAACAGTGTCATCTGATAACTTCAAGTGCTCTGATAAGTTACTTATTACTATGACAACAGGATTTAATGGGACACTTCAGAAACAGTGTAACAGTTTACAATTTACTCCAAGTTTAACACTTATGAACCCTTCAGTTAATGAAACGCCATACAGACCATCTTACAACCCTCATCTGAGGATGTAGGATGGCACAGTCACTGTAACACTTTAACATGAACACCTGAAAATATATACATGAAAGTGCATCCACACGTACTGGCTGGTGTTGAGGGTTTCAGTGAGGAGCCGTCCTGTCAATGCATGGTAGTCCACGCCAGCAAACAACTGATTGAAGAACCGAGGATGACCTGTGAACGCGAAAAGGCTCTGGACCAGGATGTAACCACATATTCAAGATTTAGGAGGAACTAATTTAATCATTTCAGAATAAAACACTGTTACATCTACCAGGCTGATCCCACCCCTACTATATAGGACAACCACTAATATGAATAATTAGTGGGATGTGATCCAAACACATCCAACATACAGGTTTTAACGCTGTATCTCGCCACATCTCGGACCCTCTGCAGTAGCTGCTCGTGAGATTCTCCATGTTCTCTGAGATCAAGATCCAGAAGAGCTCTCAGTTGATCTGGATCTTTCCACTCACACACCTGTGAATGCAAAGATATGCAGCTGATCTCATGAGATACATGATAAGATAGGAAGACCCAGCTGTTAAATGAGACGATAAATTCTTAAAAGACTTGACCTTCTCCTTCAAGTCAGTTCCTTTGTGAAGTATCTCCTCCATAATCACATTGAAAGCCTCAGTAAGGAACAGCTTGCCATCTGACTCATATTCTTCCAGGTGGACATGGCCATTAATATATTCTGTTACAGATACAAATAAAAGAACATTTATTACTAAACAGTGTTGGGGAAAGTTACTTTTAAAAGTAATGCATTACAATATTACGTTACTCCATAAAAAAGTAACTAATCACATTACTTAGTTACTTTTTATGGAAAGTAATGCGTTACGTTACTTTTGCGTTACTTTTTAAATCTGGAGAGGGCTTGCTTGTTTGTTTTTAAAATAAAAAAGTTCTATTTTTGGCAAATAAAAAAGCCTTTTCATACCAGAAGTGAAATGAATAAGCCTCAGGCTGAAAGGAAAGTAAATTTACGTCCGTAAAGTAGAATGCAGAAGAAGAAATGGAGAGCTGTCAATCAATAAATTGGAAAAAAAAAAGTAACTTGCGTTACTTATTTGAAAAAGTAACTCAGATATTCTCTTGTAAATTAAAAAGTAATGCGTTACTTTACTAGTTACTTGAAAAAAGTAATCTGATTACGTAACTCACGTTACTTGTAATGCGTTACCCCCAACACTGTTACTAAATAAGCAAAAGCAATATGATAAAACAAACCAATGTTCAATAAATAATTAATTTTAAGTTAATAATAACCAAAGACACAATTCGTACTCTTCACGATCTTCATGATATAGGATTAAAACAGTACACAAAAAATGCAACATGCAAAAAGTGTGCGTGTGTGTGTATATATATATATATATATATATATATACATATATATATCAAAGTCATATCATAATAGCAATGTCATATAATCTTCATATGGTTTATGAAACATTGCAGCTGGTTTGTAACTGATGTAACTGGTGATCAATGTCGTCTAGAACTAACCGACCTGATCAACATCTACCAGGCTGATCCCGCCCCTACCAGCTGGTATTCCCAGTAGCCCCTCACTGCAGAACACAAGATCCAGGGGGCGTGGTTGGATCCACATCTAGGGGGTGGAGATGGGTAGGTTTAGGGGTGGAGATGGGTGGGTTTAGAGATCAGGGGGTGGAGACGGGTAGGTTTAGGTATATGTAAGATGGGAGGAGTTGGATCTGGATCCAACCACGCCCCCTGGATCTTGTGTTCAGCAGTGGTATTCCAGCTGATCCATCATTTAGACCAGATTAGACCAACCTACTGATTACAACACTGGTTAACAGTAAAACAAAGATAACACATGATAAATTAAATTCGATTCGATTCAAATGTCCATTTAATTTAAAAGACGTGGATGATTTGTATACATTTAATTGTATTGTAGTGACGTGTCGTGACATGTGGCCAAGTATGGTGACCCATACTCGGAATTAGTGCTCTGCATTTAACCCATCCAAAGTGCACACACACAGCAGTGAACACACACACACCGTGAACACACACCCGGAGCAGTGGGCAGCCATTTTATGCTGCGGCGCCCGGGGATGCTAGCTACACTGCATTGTAATATAGATATATCATTTATATAATTTTACATTTACAAATCAATCGACCATAAAAACGCATTTGTTCCACTTTTGATGAACTCTAACTGGCTATTTACGGTTGCCAAGCAGAGCGCAACTCCGCGCATAATACAGAATTCACATCCAATCAGAACTCAAGAGTCGGTTTTATAATAAGCGTTATAAATTCCATGGCAACAATCGCGATATTGTATGAGGAAAACGCCATCAACGCCCCATTTCTTTTTTTCTATCTAGGCTATATGGAAATATGACCCCAAAGAGCAAAAATGACTTAGAAACAATCAAAAACAGAAAGATTTAGCTGTAATGTGCAACTTTTTGCTTTTGTTAAGAACAAGCTATTAGACCTA